ATTTGTATTTTTTTCGTGAAAAATACCTATAAGCATAAACAAACATGCTTCCGCCCATATCCTGCCAAATCATCTGAAAAAAATATGGGTCTGTAACATTCCAAAGAATATTTAATACAGCCTACATAACAGAAACAAGCATAATAATAAAATTAACATGATTTTGATGAACCTACAAGATAGTTAAGAAGCAAGTATTAATTTGCCTTTGTATAGGCAAAAACCTGTAACTGCTTGAAGAGTATATAAATATTTTAAAATGCTAACTCACTCCTCTTTACAGCCAGACTTTCCAAAACCCAATTGATCGTTTTTAAGGAGTCTTGTTATTAGTACTTCATCATAAAACTGTTTGTGGTTTTTTTCTGACAAAGCTGTCCTGAGAGCAAGAACCAGAACCTGAGGCCCCATTACCACAAATAAATGCCTAGTAGGTTCATGTCCTAACATCTGTGCTATAAAAAAATCTTCCTCTCCTTTATGCTCTCCAATCAAATTAATTTGACTTTTTTCACATGTACCTGTCCCAAGAAAGGTGGAAAGTGCTTCCACTGAAAAAAAGAAAAGCCTGTATTCTGAGGCTTAAGTATCTAAACACAAGGTCCTGGATCCCACTGGAGAAGGAAGTTGGGGATAGGATAACAACACTCTTACAACTTAGGTGGTGCCACAGTTCCTTTTAAAGTATCTATGTCATATTGGATCCAGCATAAAGAAAGTGATTCTCTGAAGAGGATGCTGGCATTACAATCACGCTTTCAGTCTTAATATTCCTCCTTCAGCAACATACAAGCAGCAGGACTGCCAATTGCTGAAATCTTTCTTTGTGATGTCTAAAATAGACATATGCGATATAGCAGAGCAATTATAAACTCCTCCACTGTATCAAGAAATACATAAAACCTGTTTGTCCTTCAGAGGTCAGAGATTGTCAGCTTCACTTTGCTTGTTTAGAGAATGGCACCTACATAAACTTAAGCAGCTTTCCTAAATTTCTTTAAATTTCTTCAGATTTCAATTCCCACAAAACAGAACCAATGGTGTACAATTACCTGGGCACAAAGGGTTTTAACTAGTAATACCAGTAGTGTTTTCAGAACATTACCCATTTCATACAACTGTTCTTTCCACACATACTCTACCTGGAAACCATCAGGAACCGCCTCCTGCTCATGCCGTGCTGGTAGGCTGATGAACGGAACCCGACACCCAGGGCCCGAGCCCTAGAAGCACAACAGAAATCATGTGAGTGACAAAAGTTTACATGAGATGCTGCAAGTATAGCTGGGGAGGTAAGAGACAAGTGCCTATCACCGTTTATACGTGCTCTTTTTACATATCATGCCTTTCAAAATCGTCCATCAACTCCCCGAGAAAATGACATGGACTAACATGTATCTGGGTCTCAATGAAAGAAACGGCAAGGAGAAATAGCAGTTTCCATTCCAAATACATCCCTAAAAGTCCATGTTTTGCCCTAAATTTCCTGCCGAATTACTGTCTATTGAAATGCTACCGTTCTTTTCAGGCCCATTGGATGGCCAACTTCAACAGTCTCACAGCTGAAAGCTATTCTGTAAGATGGAAATCTGTTCAATGTGATGACGATTTGATCCCTCAACCCCGAAATACACACTATACAACATAGAATGGGTTTGCCCTGATAAAAGTGTCTAACAGCAAGCTCCAGGAGAAAGCGCATTGAAGAGTCACTAATACAGCTTTTTTACACAATGAAAGAGCAAGACTCTTAACTACTTTAAAAAGCATGCTCAGGAGACTCTGACCTCTACAGGGGTGATGGAGCCTCCATTCTGATGCGCTACTCTTGACTCCTGCCCTGTTACAACCGTGGTCACTCCGTCTGGTGACAATGGAGATACACCTGACAAACCATCCGCATCCAGGACAGGCACAGGGCTACCAGGGATAATTCCAGCACTTTTAGCTGCCAAGTCGATAGCACCTTTTGTGAAACAAAAAAACAAAAAACACATTACAAGCCTTTTCTTCAAGCAATTACTTTGTTGTGACTCATCTAAAAGATGATTTTTTAAAAATTGGTCAGACTCAAAACTTAACACATGCAAATTACCATTTTTTTGGTAATTATCTGACTAGCTATATCAGTTCTTCCTCTTCACCAAGTATGACATTTCTTTCAGCTAAAATGTTTAATTTTTCTGCCCTGTTCCAACATGTTATCAGGTATATCAAAACAGTTTAGAGAAACATCCCAGTTCTGCCAGCCTGCCCTTTCCTTCTATTTTTTTTTCTTTTTTGTCCTGCAAATTGTTAAGTATTTGGTTATGCAATTTCTAGAAATTTCCTATGGTTTACTAGAGGAGCTATAAAAACAACATAGCCTTATTTTGTTATCTTGCCTCTAGCAGCCATTTAGCCTCAATATAAAAAACTTATGTTGTTGCAGGGTCAACGTCGCCCAGATCTTTTAAAATCCACTTAAAACATCTGAATGTCTTCCCATCACAGAGAATCCTCTAAGTAAAACACAGAGGCAGGCATTGTTATCACATCACTAATCATTCTAATTATGGGACCCATTCTTTTGTTGCAAGATAGTATCTGCTTGGGGTACACCGACATGTTTATTTCTTGTAGAATTCATAATCCCATGTTAGTAGATAAGCTGTTTATAAGTTTTTCAAATATGTCACAACCCCTTTTCAAAGTGGTCTTACAACAAAACATCACAAAAATGCTCAACTTTGGTTACAAAGTCTATCCCCTTGCTTTGCCTGCAGGTTAGACATAGCAAAGGAACCTAGTTCAGACTGAACCACCACTAACTGCTCCCTTTCTGCAGTCACACAAAGCCACAGAAAGTAAGATATCATTAACACAGCTGTTTTCTTTAACTTCCAAAGGCACTTATGATTTTATGTAGGAATTAGAAACCAACAATGTAACATCATACAGATCACAGCAGACCGTGACTCTCATTCTGTTTAAGAAATTACTTACTAGACAGATGGTTGGTAGCCTGTGTTGGAAGAACTTTGGGCACAATTGGACGAGAAACAGCAGCTTTAGTCAGTGAGGACTGGATTGGCCGAAATGAACCTCTCCCTAGGGTGAAGGATTAAATACCTCTCAAGCAAATGGAATCTAACATCTTTAAAACAGAGCACAACACAGTTCAATGGAAGCAAACAAAGTCCAAGCAGTGGTGAGCTCTGGGAATGCAAGTAGTGGAGATGATGAAACAGACTTGAAATAGTAATGCAAGCTAACCAGTGCCTTATCACAAAAATGCAACAGCAAGTGTTGCTGTGTTACTGAAGCTGTTTCATGTTGATTTTGACATTTAAGCTGAGATGGGGGATCACCTATATTACCATTGTACCAGCAGAAAAGTGTAAGTGGGCAGTATATTGATTATACTGTATGAAATTTAAACAGTATCCCACGTACTAGGAAAAGTCCATTATAAGATCTAGACAAATGATTACACCCTACAGAAGAAAAATTAGTATCTAAGTAATTTATTCCAAAATTTTGTCTCCTTGTAGAGAACTCCTTACTCTTCCCTGCTTTCAATACTGGGAAATGAAAGAAAAAAATTTCTATCATAATCATGATTTGCTTAACAATGATCCAGGAGAACAATCCCATTATCCTGTAGGAAGTGACTCAAGCAACTGGTAAATGACACTATGGTTTTGAAAGGATATTTTCCTCTTTTTAGAAATTTATTCCCTCATGCAGTTTTAAGGGACACTTTCCAGTCCATCTCATGGCAGCATAAAAGTGATAGAAGATATGCAGACTCACCTGTAATGGATGAGTTGGATAAGATAGAAAAGGAACAGACATGCTGGGATGGATTTCCAGATGGCCTGGGGAGCAGTGTTCTCTACGTGAGAGAAACAACAATAAACACAGAACAGAGGGTAAAGCTCATCTTCTAAGGCACAGAAGCTCATGCTACCTTCCAGAGTAAGCACAGTATTTACATGGCATGTAAATAGTATTATCATGCAAGAGACACAGCAAGAGGGTCCGTGTAACCTTGAGAAAGAAGCTACAGATAGGAACTGCGTTTTCTCTGTAAACTACTGTTAGAGAAAAATTCCATGTAGGCAATTCTCAGAGAAATGCTAATTAGAATTATATTCCCTTCTGATTATACTTGCAGTAATTTTCAAATCTCCCACAGAATTACAGCAGTGATCTTAAGGATGGATCTAGTCTGTGTGCAAACTGATCTTCCATTACAATTAAACAAGTGTGAATTAATGAAGCAGCTGTATGTACTTGGGAGCTCTTAAAACAAATGGAATTGCATAGACCAGAGTATCTCAGTACCAAAAAAGAGTATGCATGTAATTTCTAGGTCTCCTACTCTTATACAGAGAAGAAGAGACAAAAGGGTATATTGACACTTGATAACGTTGTTTTCCCCAAACAAGTTTCCATTATTTTGGTTTTAGATTTCTTGTGTGTTCTCCACCTGTGGTTTCACAGTGGCATGTGCCTTTTTGCTGGGTTAAAATAGTAGTAGTCTAAGGGAGGTTAATGCCTGCCTACAGCCAAAGTTCCATGACAACAGGCTCTCTCTTCCATACAACTCTTTGCAAGTCCCATTTTTTTCCAGAAGTCATTCTTCTGTCAAATTATGTTATGTTTTATTTCACTACAGAGGTTTATACCCATCCCACTTTAACAGCCATTAGTGAGTAGGAAGCAGGAAAAAATATCTAAAGGGAGATCTTATTGCCACAGCACTGACAGCTCTAACAATGACAGATCAGGATGCCACATGAACACACTGCTTGTGCATCAGTACCAGCAGGCCCAAACAGCAGAACCTGCTTTCAGATCAGGGGCTTTTTTATTTTTTCCAAACTACCTCATGCACTGGACTACTACTGTTGTTGACATTCCTCATATAGGGAATAAAACATGGTTGGTTACAATATAGACTAAAATGCTTGTTCCTTCATATGTTCAGCTTCACTTTTCCAGCAGATGTATGAGGGAAGTTCAGTTTTTTATTTCAGTTAGGTGCAAATCATTTTAACCTTACTGATATCTATTCAGGAAGCAAAACAGGCATTTCACACCTTGCAAATTGTTCTGACCTGTACTACTAATGGCTTCCGCAAGTGCCTGTTCCGTAACTTCCTCGGCTTTGGCAAGAAGAAGTCCGACTGCATCTGGAGAAGAACAGGAAGAACAGCATTAGAAAGTATTTTAAGCATGCAGACACAGAATAAATTATACCCCCCAAACTCTGTTTTTCAATAAAGTTGTAACTATTAAAATACTGTGTTTTGTTTCAGACAGTAGAATATTCTTTCTGCTAGAGCAGGAAAATTTTCCACCAGGAATGTATTTTCTTCTTGTTTTATGGAGATAAAGCTTTCTCCCCAAAAAGCCATTTCACTACTTAACTACTGCAGCTTGCTATGAAGTTGTTATTGAGCTTGTATATATAAAAATAAAATGAGTATTTGAATTAAATACAGCAATAAGGTTGTATTAAAATTAGCTGCACAATAAGAACATCAGTTTTTCTAAACCTGGCAAATATATTTGCTAGAGCAACTTAATTAGAGAGTGAACCAGCTTCATCAGGCTGTGTGATGGCATTCAGATTTAGGTCCGAAGAGGCGATGTCACTTCAAAGCATAGTTATATAGTCAAAATCTGACTATCTCAGCTAATATAATGTTATACTTGAGCATCACTAGAAGCACTCCTTCATAGGGAAGTCCATACTTTCTGATGAACCGAAAAAACCCTGTAATACCTACTGGAAGCTGGCTTAGGCACAATATGCTACTTTTTTCATTCCGTCATCTCACTTACACTGATTGTGTCTAAGTGCTGCCGGAAGGTCAGTTCTGCTTCTTTGCTAGGCAAGAACAGTTTCCCATGGCGGCTGTTGGGTGGTAGCGTTGTTGGAACTGCAAAGAGTCCACCATCTGCATCAGTGCTTCCAGAACTTGAAGGACCAGCCACCAAGAGAGGTCTAGGGAGGTTTCTCAAACCTAGAAGATTTTAACAGCAATTTAAATGAAGTGAAAACAAAAAGAAAGTAACTATTTAGTAACTGAAGGATCATACAGAGAGCTAGAACTTATGGATTCTGGCTCCGCCACCATCTGCCTGTGATCTCAAATCATGAAACTCTCAATACTTCGGTTTTCCCACCTGCAAATTGACAGTATTTACTTGCTTCACAAGGACACTGCAAACATTCACTTGCTTTGAAATCCTTGGAAGAAGGGGGTTACATGCAATTTTACGCTACTAAAGAAACTAGAATTTAAGCATCCAGTTTTAAGCCCCACACAGACTGTGTTAACCAGTTTATCTATTTAGCTTGTAGAAATACTTGTGGGCCCTTCCCACTAAACAAACTATATATCCACCATACCTTTTGTACGGGAAGATAATACAAACACAGACTCATTCTACAATGTTTATGTTTTATTTACACTCCCCACCCCACCCCGTGGTAATTCAAAGTGCAACCCAAATAAAGTGATTCTGGTGACAGAGTAATGAAAGAGCATGGATCAATTTACCAAAATACCTTCCAAAAGATGGATTGTCTTAGAAATACATTTGGCACATTGAGATAATGGCATCTGGTCCAAGTAAAACTTCTCCATTTACATTTAACTTTAAAAAATATTGTAGGATTTCACAGTGCTGTGCCCACTCTGCAGGCATCCAGCTAGGACGTTAGTATGTCATTCTGAGATAACCAAGAAGCATACCTGCCTCTCTTCCACAGAAGTGCTTGCTGCGCATGTAACACTGGGTTTTGTAACAATAGACGACAATGGCTATTTTCACGCTCATATTGCACCCATACTTGTCATGGTACTCCAGCCTCTACTGCTGGGCTGGAGATCTCAGCTGGGAGGCAGCAGGCACCTGACTCCCCCAGAGGGGGAAGAAGCGAAGTGGGCAACGATCCTCAGTCATGCCTGCTGCCTCCCTGGGCAGGAAGACAATATAGCACAAGCTTGGGCCACCCTAATGCAGAGATGGGTATACGCAACAGTATTCAAGAAGTGTTTTGAAGAATATCAAACTTTATTTACCTAATAAATAAACCTTGCAGGTTTTATTTTCCTCCTATTTAAAAGACTAAATTGCCACCTCGACCCTACTGCTCTAGATTCTGCTGTTCTTCCAAAGGTTAGTTAAAATTACAGCATGCCAATGTATCTAAAAATCAATTAAATGCAGAACAACATATAAATTTGTGCCTCCTGCCTGACCAGAAGTTAGAGAGAATTGTTAAAGATAATACACATGACATTATCTTTAAAAAAAGCAATAAAGGGATGCAACTATAATTACATATTGATATTTTAAGCACTATAGGTGATGCTGCATCACGGCTGTTGCTTCACTTTTTCTAAATCGCTTTGCATGATCCTTTTTATCCTCTTTTCCGTCTCTCCAGCTAGCTCTGTGGGTTTTTTGCAGCTGTCAGTTTACTAACACTTTCAGTTCTTCTGGAGTGGACACAGGCTATCGTCTTACCTTTATTTTCTACTGAGAAGGCCAAATCAATTTTAAGATCATTAATTAAAAAACCCCAAAAGACAAAAACCAAAAATCAGGGAATGCACCTAGAATGCCCATCACCAAAAGTAACCTAGCAGTTTGCTTTCTGACAGCCAAATTACTGCAGTCATTTAATAGCACTGTATGTGAGGATACAAAGAAGCTTGGTAATTACTGTATACTAAAAGTTGCAATCCACACCACAAACAATCCTATTTTAGATCCAGAACACCATTACCAGGGCTGATAAAGGGATTCAGTTTGTCTACCAAAACAACACAACTTAGGGTGAAGATATCAGACTTGCTTGGGTATCCATTTGACATGCTGGAATGCCATCACCTGAGGCCTAAGCAGAACTGCTGAGAAGCTAAACTAATTAACTAGGTAGAATGTTGCACTGAACACACTTTTACTGCTCCTCTGTTCAAGCCAAACTGCTCAGCTGAAGCCAACTTTGCCATCTTTGGTACTGTGCAAAAGCAGGAGTACATAATCTATATTTTCCACTTCCTGACTTTGCACTAAAGACTATGTGTTTCAGTATGATATCTTAAACCATAGTACTACACAACCCTACTTGTATTTCAGTGATGTGAATCAAAGACTAACACGAACAGTTATATTTGGTTTTGAATCAATGAGGCTCTGTGTAAACAGAACAGGTATCTGTTTCTAGGGGACCAGATACAAAGTGTTGTTATCTTCTTGCTGTTTCTGTCTGGTATCCCCAGCAGATGATCCTTACCCTTACTTAAAAGGCTTCAGAAAGGATTTTCTGGAAGCATAAAGTACAATCTCACAGAATCATTACGGTTGGAAAAGACCTCTAAGATCATCGAGTCCAACCATCAACGCAACACCACCATGCCCACTAAACCATGTCCCTAAGCGCCTCATCTACACATCTTTTAAATACTTCCAGGGATGGTGACTCAACCACTTCCCTGGGCAGCCTGTTCCAATGCTTGACAACCCTTTTGGTGAAGAAATTTTTCCTGATATCCAGTCTAAACCTTCCCTGACCTTTCCTGTAACTTGTTACTTGGCTGTCCTTTTCCTCTGGGCAGCTTTCCAGCCACTCTTCCCCAAGCCAGTAGCGTTGCATGGGGTCGTTGCGGCCAAAGTGCAGGACCCGGCATTTGGCCTTGTTGAACCTCATACAATTGGCCTCAGCCCATTGATCCAGCCTGTCCAGGTCCCTCTGCCCTCAATCTCATAAAAATGAATGTTACAAACTAAGGAAATTTGATTCTACTTGCAAGTCTGATTTAAAAAGATATGTCCTTCAAGCCTGTGTATCTCACTGAAATGTAACAATTTATCTGTCTGATCTATTAAATTACTGCCTTTTTACTAGATACTTAAGTGAGTACGTCCTTGTCTGAAGTAAGTGCAATGAAGCTTTAGACAAAGATGAAATTGCTATAATGCCATTTTAGAATGAAAACCACAGATAGCACCAAGTATGTTTTACAGCATCAGTTAAATTGCTCATGGTCCACTGCTTCTTACAGCACAGGCGTGAAAAGGACAGAGTAAGAATCACAATTGTTCCCTGACACCTTCACAGACTTTTCTAAAGTCATAAAACATCTGCTGGAAAATGCAACTGGACTGAAGAATAGAACTGAAGTTTTCGGTCTGCATGGCTAGGGCTCACAAGTTATAGCAGCTGTACCTTCTATTAAAAAAAAAAAGGTAATTCATAATCATTCCGTATTTTAGAATGGCAGAATGGCACAGAAAATTTTCAGTAATTATTTTATCAACAAACTTTACACCATGTATTTACTCTCCCGCTCTGTAAGCCTTCGCTCTCTTGAGATCCCATACCCTGTATCAGTCAGCTCCTAACAAATGCCAGCATCTTCTGTAAGACTGACTCGTGATAGTTCTTCTGGATTGTAAACTGTATTATTTACATGCACTGTTTTTCAAGATTCAAAGCAGTATTGAATTTAGGACAACTCTAAAGCAAATTAACACATACCAATGTTTTGAAACAGTTAAGTTCGTAAGTGTAAGAACACTCATTCTCCCAGTGTTACATTACTGGGATGAACTCATCACAGTATGAGGTACTAATGGTCTGATCTCTTGAAATGGATTTTTATGAACACTCACCTGAGGAACTGGAAGCGGCACCAGGAGAAAAAGTCTTGTTGTTGCGAAGGGCAGATTGATTTCGTGCACAACCTGGACTCCTGGTGCTGATGGCAATCACCTTTCCCGGAGGAGTCAGTGACTGCTCCTCTTGAGCAGGCTTTATAGGTGAGGTGGCAACAGAGCTCATCTCGGGTGTCTAAAAATGCACGCATATTAAATGAATATTGTGTACTGTTACAACAAATATATTGTTAAACTCATTCTACTTAGGAAGCTTAAAAAAAAAAAATCTGACATACTACAATATCTTTAAGTACTCTAACCAATACCTCTGTGTGTGTGTGGTGGGCAGCTGAAATTCCCTTCCTGTGCATTTAGCAGTGTTAAATGTCATCGGTTCAGTATCATTAATTTATGTTACAATGGGGTTAACACTCAACAAGCTTCACACAGTGTGCTGGACCACCCCGCGATAAAAAGGAAATAAAAATAATAAAAAAAAAAAGGTAAAGACACAGATTTGTCACAGTAATGGAAAAGGTGGTGTTTTTAATTCAATGCTAAACTAATTTTCATAAACTCTAACTATCCAGACAGCTCCTCTGGTTGGAAGTATACCTGGACAAAAATATTTTGCTCTTAATTCTTATCAAGTACAGACCAATAGTTTTGAATTTTTTCCCATCCCTTCTCCTATTTCATACTGTAATACAGCAATAACAAGAGGCACATGGAAGGTGCTTTACTAATTTTCCAGGCCTATCCAGTTATTTCACTAAGTGTTTAAAAAGCGTTTAAACACTTTTCTAGGAAATGCTCCCTTTTTAAGGAATCTGTGTGCAACCATAGGCATAAAACTACCACCCACATTTGACTGCAATGCAATTTGCCAGTTTGTTTTATGCTGGTAATCTTCATTTAAAGGAACGAACCACAGCACAGTGGGCCATTTTGGCTTTGTTACATATTATCTTGAGAAAATAGCAGGGATCTAGACAATCAAACCTTCCTCTGTTAAAGAACCCTGTGGCAAAAATATTATGGTTCCTGTCATTATTTGATGAAATGCAGAGGATTTAAGAGACACAACTTTCAAAAAGTCTACAGTACTTTCAATTAGGCAGTATCATCCTCGCCTCTTGAATATCTATCAGTCCCACGACATTCATTGCCCCAAGTCTATCTCTTTTCCTGAAACACAGGCAGTATAAAGTGGTATTTGACAAATAAAAGAAAAGGTTACGTTACTTCTTTTTATTGGAATGTACAATATGGTACATATCTGAAAAAGCTCCATTATTTTTCAGGAGCACTACGCTACTTTGACTAAGACACTAAGAGTGCTAAGGTGACAGGAAAACACTTGCAAATAATAACTGATGGGTTTTTTCCCCCTCTTCTATCCCTCTCCCCTCAAGTCTAAGGAGATGTCCTTCTTTCTAGTTTGTGGTTGTTTAATCACATCATCCCTGGCTGTCACATGTGTCACCAGAATCACAGAATTATTTAGGTTGGAAA